GATGGCGCTGCAGAATAATGAGGTAACTTCTACAATGTACTATAATTTGTACAATAATACTTATATTACTCATACTACTTTAAACAATCGTCACGTCGGTCATAGCTTTTTATGATTGCCTGAACAATGCGTAAAGAGCAAATTGAAACATTGAACGTCGCGTGATAGTGGAATTTAATCAAGGCCTAAATACCTTTTCGTAGCCTTTTGTTTTCGGAATTGAAAGATCGTCGGTTGCAGTGGCTTGCTTACTGAGCAGAAAAACGCGGTCCCAGGTCATTTCATATTAAAAATGTATGGTAAGATCGCTTGTTTATCGTGTATTTTGCTAAACCTTTCGTTGTCGTCGATGCTGGGTTTGAATAGTTATAACAACTTGAGTAACGGTATGATGTGATATGAGGGGCTCGGTGGCCTTAGAGCAACCGTTTTTGCTTACTGAGCAGAACATCCAGAGTCTAATCTCAAGCCCATCCACATCAAGATTCGTCAATCGTTTTATTTGTTAATATGACTACATGGTAATAACTGCAACTCGATGATTAAAAAGGAGCTCGTTTGCCTAGTAGCAAACGTTTTTGCTTACTGAGCAGAAGACCGTGTGTTCAATCCCAAGCTCCTTCGCGTTATACGATCGTTAGGACATCAATTCAGCTTATCGTTTACCAAAACGAACCCTGCTGCAAACCCAACGCTCTTACCCAACATCCCTGTGATTCCTCGTGGAAGTGCAGAGGACTCCTCGGCTTCCATCAAAGCGAGTGTCACGTTAACACATTCCTACCCATTTCTTTTATTGACCTGCGTTCAGGCGCGGCTGGCGCTGGTATTGCCTAATTCGAGACCACCAGTTTTTACACATTGAGCATGATTGCTAGTCCCAAGCATCGTCTATTGGTTCTCTGTGTAATTACAGCTGGTCTGGCAATAACAGAGTAGCAACCGTGGGCGGTCAATCATGCTCATGCTCATGCTCATTTGCTCAGCGCTGAAGGGAGGTTGATTGGTCTGTAGCTTGAAGCTAGCGTTGGGTCCTTCCCGGGTTTGCGGATAGGTATGATTTTCGCTGTCTTCCAGATACTTGGAACGTAGTGCAGTTCCAAGCATCTGTTGAAGACAGCAGCCAGCAGAAGTGAACCTTCATGCTGAGATTTTTCAATACTAGGTTGAATATTCCATTATACCCGGGGGCCTTCATGTTTTTGGTGCATTTCAGCGCTGAACAAATCTGTTCCACTGTGTCTTCCTCCAGAGGGATGGCACAAGGGGAGGAATCAAGGTTGAGTACGCATTGCTCAACCTGAGCTTCGAGCAGACTTTGAATGTTGGAGCCAAGCAAATGCGATTTGGCAATATGCTCACCAATCGCATTTGCTTTCTCCTGAGGGGTGATTATGAGCCGATCGTCATCATTTTCATCTTTGAGTGATGGAATGGGTATGGGGTGCGTCTTTAAGACCTTGGCAACCTTCCAGAATGATCTGGAGCGGTCGTCCAGATTCTGGACAAGCCACCCGAAACTTTCGTTCCGGAGTGAGACCATTCTGGAAGCAATCTCCTTGTTCAGATCGGCCATTTCACGTTTCCTCGCTAGATCTCCGGTTCTCTGGAACTGGCGTCTACGAACATTTCTCAGGCGAATCAAGAGTTGGGTGTGGGAATCAATGGCAATAAACTTACCCCTCACAGAAACTCGTCGGACGCACGCCTCGTCAGCCACGGTTGTGGTTTGGTGGAGTCCCTCCAACGCTCGGTTGATCTCCTCCACGGTGTCAAGCGGCGAGTTATCGATGATGTGCCTGTCTACCACGCGTTCAAACTGGGCCCAGTTTACGCGATGGTAGTCCTTGCGCAGACTTGAAGCAGGAGCCATGTTGCAGCCCAGTTCAGCTACCACCGGTTGGTGGTCGGAGCTGAGTTCGTTCAAGGCTATCGGCTTTGACAAGCCAGTATTTGTAAGAAACAGGTCTAGCGTCGATGGACTGCCTGACGGTGAGATGAATGTTGGCTCGTCCGAGAACCAAACGGAGTACAGCCCATGCTGCGAATGGTCGAACAACAGACGACCGTTCTGGTTCTGCTGGTAGCTCCGCCAGGCCTCATGGCGAACATTCAGATCACCTCCAACAACGAAGCGGGAACCGGAACGGGTGATGGTGGACAGGTCTTTCTTGAATTTAGCCGCTAGTCCGCTGCTGGCGGCACACTGTCGAGGGCAGTAGACGGCGATGAACTGGACGTATCCAGTCGACGACTCCACCTCCACGCCAAGGGCCTCGATGATAGAGGTGCGGATATGGGACAGAGTGTGTTATTTTATTCCTTTCTTGACGACGACCGCACCGACGACCATAAATGTACATCAACTAGACTGAATGAGTGAAGTGCAAACGATCGACTGACTGATGTCAAGTGGGGGTTAGATAGGACCGACCATTAGAGCATCATTTAAGGACAACTCGTACCTTTGTGTTTGAGAGATCAGCAGACGAGTGGACTAACGAGATACAGGGATCTTGACGTTGGGGAGTCGCACGTGTGAAGCGGAAGAAGGGATATGACCAGCTGATTGAGAACTAGGTGAGCACGGTATAACTGGAGGTTTATTGTTGGCGAGGAGAAAGCCTTTCACTTTATAATACGCAGACTCAAATTCGCTGCGTGATTTAAACTGCTGCTCTAAGTCTGCTTCGTCTAGCGATTCCAATTCCGATTGGGTTTTATTGAAATCCACCCAGAGTGTCGAGAGATGCTCCAGTCGCACTGAACCTTGGTGGACATCAGTGTCCACGTTAAATTCGTCCATGAAGGTATGGATAAGTGAGAATGATGTTTGGAGGTTACGTAAGCGCACTTTGAGCGCCTTGATCCGACGTTCCGAAGTCATTTTGATCTGGAACTGGAGAGCAAGGTTAAGAGTTTGGAACTATAATTACCTTAAATATGGCATGTGCCTTGTAATAATGTAATCAGCAGCAGCAGCGTTGTAGCAGAAGATGAGGTTGAAGATGGCGTAAAATCGTTCACAGTCCAATGAATAGACCTTCCTTCAGAACACAGGCACAATATGGCGAAAAGTCCACTGGAGAAACCACGTTTTTGAATGAACAGAGTGTCGACGCTTATCCGGCTCGAAGGACCAGATGATGTCATTATAATTAGAGATGTGAACCGATAGGTTAGAGGTTTGATCGATGAAAAACGGAATTATTCATTGCTAGAGATTTAAGAGCGGTTATATAAAATAAAATGGATTTGATCGAATATAAATCAAACCAGTGTTGGGAAAGTATCTAAAAATCAAATCTCAACAAAGAATAAGATTAGCGGCGCCGGTGGTGTAGTGGTACGCGTAATTACCTGTCACTCCAGCAGGCCTGGATGTTCTGAGGCATAACATCTCTGATTACGCCTTCCTTCGAAAGGGAAGTAAAGCCGTTGGTCCCCGGTTCATGAGTTGATGGGTCGATAGGTAGGGTCCAGGTGTGGAGCATCCTCCCTGGCGTCAGTAGCATTGGTGCTCAGCACGGAAACAAATCAAGAAAAAACAACAACGAAAAAAACATAATATGCGGCAGTGGATTATGGATACACTGAAGTGAATTTTACATGCATTTCGATCAAATGCAAATGTAAAATGCATCAGGGGCTAAATTTTCGACGTTATTGTACCTGATGCTATTTTCCGTGAATTCCACACCTGAGTACCTTCAAAACACGCCGTCTGTTCGCCAAGCAGTTCACTTACGTTTAATCGAAGATAACATATCAAGAAGACTGGCAACTAATCCATTTTCTCAAACGATCGGTATGAGACAGGCACAATCGCGTCATCTGCCGCTCAAAGGTAAATGCTCCGAACGGATTGAATAGCAAAGGCTCCATCCTCAGAAGAAAGGTTTGTGTATGTGCTCTTATTTTCTATGCATTCATCGCTACTGTGTCTGTCGCTCAGATACAGGCAAATTTGGCTGTCTTCTTCATATGTTGTCTTCGGTTTAATGCAATCCGATGCAACAAAATGTTAATGAACTGCTTCAAACTGTAGTTTTTCCGACAGGCTCATGAACTGCTTTCGTTTATCATGTTTCTACGGGTTGATAGTGGCACAGTTACAAATTTTAACGATTCCGAGGCCCCATAGCACTCGGCAGGAGAGAACTACGCACTTCTTCAACGATTCCATGATCCTGTATCACTTTAAGCCTGGTACGCAGCTGAAAAGTAACGACGTTTACTTTTCTTTAGCATTTATTGACCCAGTACGCAGTTGAAAAGAAATCGGTAAAGGAAAGATCGATTACATTCGTATGGTGGTCGACATGAAGGTGGCGCATTCTGATTTATATTTCACTTTCCTTGCGGAATAATGATCTGATAAATTATTCCGTTCGGTAATTTTGACGATTGTTACAAAACTGAGGAATTGGATTGTTTATTGTTGGTTTTTAAAATTGACGACACCGTGCTATGATCTCAAAATTTAGCGAAAGACACATACCTATGCTGTTAAATTTTCTTTTGGGAATAACCCTAAAAAAAATACTTTTCCATTTTCTTTTCTGCTGCGCACCAGGCTTTATGACTTAATTTACACTTACATATATGGATAAACGAAGTCTTTTTATTTCCTGCAGTTACATTATTACAGTGAAAAACATAATAAAATTAGAGTAATTCAATATTTTGTGTTGAACAGCCTGGTACATCGATCGAATTGACGCTTTAAATGAAAATGGCATCATCAGAACCGCAGCGCCAACTATGAGTCGTTTGCTGCTTTTTTCTCTATCCTAACATAGTGGAGTTTAGAAAATCAGCGCATTGAGAGATCAGATGACAGCCCTGCAGAAAATTCTCCATTTCAGGCGAACAAGGTGTGCTATATCTCGACTATCTGAGAAGTTTCTATCTTCGGCAAAGGATTAATAATGGTTTCTTCAATTGGGTCGCAAAAAATCTATCTTCCGTATTGGAATACAGCAGAGCTACTATATTTTTTTTTACCAGATAACAGCATTCATGCTTAAATGTTTTCAATTTCCTGTACTTATCGCAATGACAGCACACATCTGATTAGACGATCTACAAATACTTTTAGTTATCATTTAAATCGAAGTGACATACATCACCGAATGCATAATAAATATCATAAACTGTAAAACAGAAACAAAACTAGGGGTAAAGCTTAGCACGTTCACTGCACTTAAATTTTTGTAGTCGAGGCAAATAGTGTAAATAAATAAATAATTTAATTAACTCAAATTTTTGGCGGTGCAAACGGAACAGAAAATGCGCCTATAAACTCTATGAACGGGAAGAATCACTTCACTTTCCGAGTAAAATTTTCCGGGTAGCGCCAAAGTTGAGCCCGGCCTGGGTGGCTCCCTTGTTGGAACCGGCCTGTAGACCAATCAGACCCTCACCGGCACGCAGCTGCTCCTCGGTGAACTCGCGGCGATTTTCCTCCGATGGGCGAGGACCCAGGTACGGGCCGCGAAACTCCGGGTGGCGATAGCACTGTAATGGGATGGAAAAGAGTTGGATTGTTACGCAGAAATAACAGATAATAAACAAAATTAAGGAGCAAGAGCTCGCCCTTAATCCACAAAATGTTTGTTTTTTTTTTGTTTGTTTATTAATTTATTTGATAAGGCTCAAACGAATTAACAGAGCCGAGGATTCTTGGTCACTATACAATACATCTTGAAACTATAGTCAACAACACAATAAACACTTTATCTTCCGCTATTGAAAAAGCCTCCTCCATCAGAACTGGAGCCGCTTCTAGTAGTTTGATTGTATGGCAGTTACGCCATCGGGGGGCAGAGTGTAGCATCCCAAATTGTAGCATTTCTAATATTTCCAAATTATCATAAATTATCATGAACGCCAGTGACATGAAACATGCATGCCACACATTATCCTCAAGCCTTCATTAGCTCATGCTTCAAGGTTCCAAACATTCCCACAGTTCATAAAATCCTTACATTGACACAATTGACAAAACCCAGACATTCCCACAATCCAAACCAAAAGTTCTCATACTTCAAACCATCAGCTCGGTGGAGGTTTACAATTGATTGCTTAGTTGCACAAGTGTAAAACACCACTTCAAATTAAATTATTGCGAACGCATTTTCCCATGCAGCACTAAACGATGACCCATGTTTTCGTCACCTCAAAACATTCCCAGATAGCGAACCGTAAATTGACTCTTCCTTCTCCGAACCACATTTGTTCCCATACACGACACTTATAGCCAATCGATAATTCTTGCTTATGCACCAATAAGCCTGACAGACGCCAAGCGCATCATGTTACAAGTCACAGCGCCGAACTCTCTTTCCCATTTGTTTTAGCGTCGACTTCTCTCTTGTTGACAAATTTCTAATTGAACTCTTATTGGTTAAAACGGCAACTCCAAGCGCCTCCCCACCTAATTGTTATTTGTGTAGAATTATGAAGATGTGTAGAGTTTAAGTAAGATGTAACCAAACTGGTACAAGAATAAACATTCATTATGTGAACCCTCACGGCGACTAGTCGATGTCTAAGAAAGATATCACATGGCCTATTACAAGAGCGCTTCCATTGTAGCAATGGACGCAAAACGTGGTCAGCACTCACACATTCATCACGAAACGGTTGCTTTCCAAAGTCGACGACGCATCGATAATATATATGAACTGCCGATGAAGAACAATGAGGAGGCCACACAATGGTTGCTGCTAAGTACCTGAAAGATTCCAGGGCGGAATACTTCACACATGACATCCCCGCTGAGAAGCCCTTCAAGATAGTCATCAGAGGCTTACCGAACTTCGACCCCAAGTCGATCGAAGAAGAGCTTAAGGACCGTTACAAGCTAGCCCCAATCGCAGTCTTCCGGATCACGAGGAGAGACGAAAACGTAAAAACGTACCCGGATTGCCTTTTCCTGGTACATTTCCAGAAGGGAACGGTGACGCTCAATGCGTTGAAGGCTATCCGCTCCATCAACTTCATCATTGTTCAATGGGAGCCATACCGTGGCGGCCGTCACGACGTCACCCAGTGTCAGCGTTGCCTGAATTTTGGGCTTGGCACCCGGCACTGCTACACCAATCCGCGCTGTGGCAAATGCGCCCAAAATCATGTCTCCTCCGAGTGCATTGTCGACGAGTCGGAAACGTGCAAATGCGCCAACTGTGGTGGAGCTCATCAAGGGTCCGACAAATAGTGTCCCAAACGCGAGGATTTCAAGCGGATCCGAAAACAAGCATCCACATGAAGCCAACCAGGACGGAAGAAGAAAAACACTGCGGCATTCAGGGCACGGTCAAGCAAATCCACGGGTGCAATCCGGTCCCCGTCAAGAAACGTCTGGTGCCTCAGCTGGGTAAAGCTCTCCACCCCCCCCCCTGGATTCTGGAGACAACCACCAGCACAAAACGCCAATCCCGATCTCTTCTTTGTGGATGAGCTGATGAAGATTTTCGTCGACATGACCAGTGCTCTCAGTGCCGCAACAAGCCCGAACAGATCCAAGTGCTCGGTAAGTTTATCATTTAGTATGGCGTCTACACCTTTAACTATTGTCACGTGGAACGCTTGCTCTGTACGAGCCAAAAAGTTCGAGCTTGCTGAATTGCTCCGCACGCATAGTATCGACGTGGGCCTCCTATCAGAGACTCATCTAAAGTCCGGCGACAGCTTCTGGTTGCCTGACCACTACATTATTCGGCTTGATCGCACCAGCTCCAGGAGGGGGGGGGGGGGGGGGTTGGTGTTGCGGTCGTCGTCAAGAAACGAATAAAATACCACACTCTGTCCCATATCCGCACCTCTATCATCGAGGCCCTTGGTGTTGAGGTGGACTCGTCGACTGGATACGTCCAGTTCATCGCCGTCTACTGCCCTCGACAGTGTGCCGCCAGCAGTGGACTAGCGGCTAAATTCAAGAAGGACCTATCCGCCATCACCGTACCGGTTCCCGCTTCGTAGTTGGAGGAGATCTAAACGCTCGCCATGAAGCCTGGCGGAACTACCAGCAGAACCAGAACGGTCGCCTGCTGTTCGACCACTCACAGCATGGGCTGACATCACTCCGTTTGATTTTCGGATGAACCAACATTTATCTCACCGGCGGGCAACCCATCGACGCTAGACCTGTTCCTGACAAATATCGGCTTGTCCAAGCCGGCAGCCTTGAACGAACTCAGCTCCGAACACCAACCGGTGCACAGTGGGGATTTTTGCAACAAAAAGGCTTGAAATTGTCTGCCGCTGAAACCTTACATTGTAGCATATGACTTTCTTTGGGAAAAATGTCAAGAAATTTATTTTTCATATTTTGAATCGGTGCACGCTGTAATAAGTGCATGTTTGGAGTCTATTTTGCCCTAAAATCCCATATTTTCTGTAGTTGATTCAAATTTTCAGTACCTTTTATCAGAAGTAGCCAATATATTTTCTAGTAGTCAGCTTATGCCTTTTAAAAACTATTAAAAACATATATAGGAGAGTATGGGGTCAAATAAACCAGATTGTTTGATAAAATATAAAAGATTTCCGAATTTAAACTCAATGTTAAAAATTTAAACATGAGATGCACAAAACACTCAGAAACTGGATTAAAATAGACTAAAGGACAAAACTGATTTAAGTGCATGTTTTGAGCGTATTTTTCCCCGGTATCTCATATCAAAACAACACTTTATTTGAAAGATTTCTGCCGCTGAAATGCTAACACGAGATTTAGGTTTTCTTGAAGTAAAAAGGAATCTAAGCATCCAATGTGCTTGTTTGCTGTGTACGTACAAATAAATACATGTTTAGAACCTGATTTACCCCAAAATCCTCTATCAATTGAAAGCATTTGAACTGGTTTATTGGCATTAAGGGTGTCCACGATGAAATTGCCACACTATGAAATTGCTCTAACTTTTTAACCGTTGGGTAGAATTTAATGAAAATTTGGGTGGATTTAGTTCATAGTGCATTATTTACATCCTGCAAGTTGTAAAGTCCTTTGATCAAAACTCGCGGAAATGGAGTCGAAAGAACAGCTCGTGCGTGATAAAATCTTGCGCATTCATCACGAGAACAAGGATCTCTCGCATCGTTCCATCGCTAAAACGTTGGGAATCGCGAATTCCACGGTGTCGCGAGTGATTAAGCGGTTCGAGGAACGGTTGACCACCGATCGGAAGCCCAGAAGTGAAGGAAAAAGTATTCCGTACAACACCAAAAATCACAACCGCGTAGTTGGGGCCTTCAACCGAAATCCGAACGCCTCCGTTAGGGATGTGGCTAAGAAGCTGCACCCAAGCCGAAGTTTTGTCCAGAAGGCCAAAACTAAGGCTGGGCTTCGAACGTTCAAGGTACAAAAGGCCCCTAATCGCGACGAGAAGCAGAACAAGTCCGCCAAAACCCGTGCCAGGAAGTTGTACCTCAACTTGCTGACGAAAGTTGAATGCTGCATCATGGACGACGAAACATATGTGAAGGCCGACTTCAAACAGATCCCCGGCAACCTGTTTTTCACGGCCAAGGATAAGTTCAGCGTTCCGGAGCATGTCCGCACTCAGAAGATGTCCAAATTTGCGAAGAAATTTATGGTTTGGCAAGCCATCTGCACGTGCGGGAAGCGGAGTGCACCTTTCGTGACCCAGGACACGATGAACGGACAGGTGTACATAAAAGAGTGCCTCCAGAAGCGGCTGCTTCCTCTCCTGAAGGCCCACAACGTCCCAACAATCTTCTGGCTGGATTTGGCCTCATGCCACTACTCCAAGGACGTGCTGAAGTGGTATGGGGACAATAAGGTCAATTTCGTGCCGAAAATGTTCAACCCTCCCAACACTCCGAAGCTCCGCCCCATCGAGAAGTACTGGGCGATTATGAAGCAGCACCTTCTTAAACGACCTAAGGTAGTGAAGACAGTCGAGGAACTGAAGAAAATATGGGTTTACATGCAAAAAACGGTTGATTCACAGGTTGTGCAGAATCTTATGGCCGGGGTTAAGGCCAAGGTGCGGGCATTTGCGTATGGACTGTAAATAAAATACGAGTAAATGGTAAAATGAAGTTTAATAGTTATTTTTCAATCCCTGAAAATTTGATGGCAATCGGATGAAAACTCGAATTTTGCGAATCAATTTTGTGTGTGGCAATTTCATCGTGGACACCCTTTAAATAGAAATATCTCTCTTTTAAAATTTCCAAATATACCATTTATAAACCAGGAAGTGAGCTTTTATTAACTATTGGAAACATTCATAGGAGAATGAGGCGTCAAATAAGCCATGTGTCAAATGTACAAGTTTGCTCATTTTGATGGCATATTAAAAAATAAATGTGTACGCTGTACAAAACACTCAGTAAATAAGTTGCAATAGTCTAAAAGACCAAAATTAACCAAGTTTAAGTATAAACTTTGTTTTGCACCGGTACCCTTGTTACTTGCTTTATCAGTTTTGTCCTTTAGATTATTGTAATCCACTTTCTGAGTGTTTTGTGCGTCTCATATTTAAATT